TTAAGAAATCTACACCCACGTAGTGAGACAGAAAATACTGATACAACTGTGCAACCACTTATGCCGGTCATATGTAAGAAGGTTTGCAGACTAAATTTAATTTGTCAAAATATCCAAAGGATGGCTACGATTCGCCACAGCAGGCTTGAGAAACTGTTTGACGAAATGAACATTCTTCAGTCTTCAGTAATGAGGGACCATTTGCCCTCTGGCTACCTGTAATTACTTTCAGTGGTGTAAAAACATGGCATAAAAGCCAAAGCTTCCTTGACACACCTCACTTTCACAATCTGTCTTCAAAAGAAAAAAAAATCTCATGTTTCACACTGTTGCACTGACCTTATACTACCACACTTACAGAGCCCTGTCAAAGGGCAGAGTCTCTGAAACAAACCAGCAGTTCTGCATGGTCATCCAGCTTCTACAAACAGATAGAGCCAGTATTCACTGACCATAAGAGTAAAGTGAAATCTTCAGAACAATGGCCTCATTTTTAATTAGCATGATGTGACTTGGCTCGATTCGACTCGGATATTAGGGTTTTCCATATTGGGGACAATACCTGGTACCAGGTAGAGCAAGGCAATATGACCAAAAATATTTATCACGATATACATTTGAAAATTTGCGATAACAATATAACTGACGATATAATTGACACTAGACAAAATACTTTACAACTCCACAACTTTATTAGTGCAAAAAAAAAAAATCAATGTATTTTCACTTAAAGAAAAATGGTAAATGGCCTGCATTTGTATAGCGCTTTACTCAGTCCCTAAGGACCCCAAAGCACTTTACACTACATTCAGTCATTCACCCATTCACACACACATTCACACACTGAAAGAAGCAGCTGTTTTTTATGTGCATTAAAGTTATATAAAAATGTAACAGTGCAAATGCAAATTCCTCGCTGACAGTTTAACCAAAAGGCATTTCCAGTGGAAACTGGCCGACATATCCTGAGCAGAACCATGTAGAATATCCACAAAACTTAAGGAGTTTCTACACACACAATACGGTAATATTATGTTGAAGCACAGTATGTATCACTCCGCGAGGCTCCTGCCTACAATAGCCGTAATGCTCCAACAAACCACCAAGTGGTGCGGGTTCGTAGCTTAGCAAAGTCGTACTGAAACATTTGACAGATTTTCGAGCGCCGTGTACCACATAAAATCGTTTCATTTCACTAAACACAACCAGAATTCAGACATAAGGCACACGGCATTATAAGGGGCACTGTCGATTTTCAGAAAAATCAAAGGATTGATTTTAGGTGTGCCGTATTTTCCAAAAAAAACACGGTAATAACGACGGCCCGCTAGCATGCTCTACCAAAAATGGTGCTTTGTTGTGTATCTGACGGACGAAAGCTAAACCAGTTCCACACCACTGACGTTGCAGCATTTTTACAAACCAATTCTAGTTCATCTGTTTCATTCAACAATCTGCTTTCACCCTTCTCATTCTCCATTGCTGCTTTGCTTTTTCTGCCATGTGCGTATGAAAACAAAGGCACTGTGCATGCGCGTTTTGCCCATATTATTGTTGCCCAACATTATACCGGTATTACCGTGAACGGTATAATATGGCCCAGCCCTAGTACCAGGTACTTTTTAATACCCAGTAGGCAGGGATTCCAAGCAGACTGAGCTAAACCAAAAATGTGACGTCAACAAACTGCATGCCACTGATTAGCCAGGGAGTGACATCACTGATTCAGTCATGTGAGTGACTCCTTCACAAAAATTAAATTCACTATTCCTGGCAACAAGGAACGGTTACACACAGAGCAACACCATGGCCCAGTGACGAGGTGCAGACACTTACGGTCAGTTTAGCACCAGAGATACGAGTAACTTGATATCCTCTGTTGTTGTTGTTGCGTTTGTGTCACGTACAAATTACATCACAGCACTTTTGAGCTACATTGCTATAATGACTTCACCCACACTGAGATGGTACCCAATTTTAATGGAAAACGTCAGAAACTGACTAGAGTCTAATCAAGTCAAGCCAAACAAAGTAGGTTATAGTGAAAAAGAGGCAAAAGAGTCAACTACAACTACCTGAAAAGAGGTTCTGGCTCCAAACCAAACTTTTATGTCAAAGTGTGAACAGCAAGTTATAGCGGAGCTTAAAGGTGTTAATGCTGCAATGGGCTTCAAAATACAAGGACTAAAGCCTCTATTACATGTGCATGAGACGTAACATAACTGCACTCACCCTGTCACGGTTAAATGTGATCTGGGGACCCATGCCTTCTTCAAGTCAGCACAACCCCTGCTTTAATTACAGGAAAAAACTAACAACTTTAAAAAAGAGCTTTAAAATATGATGATATCTATAGTTTTACAATACTCTTAAGTACAGAGCTTATTAGGTAGAGGGGAACCAGTTCTAGCAGTGTTAACGACCCAGGTGATGAGTGCCGATGTGTGTGTGCAGCTGACTGGCGAGGTGTCCCGCTGAGTTTCGGTCTGACAGCAGCTATAAACTCACTTTACCATCCTCTTTCTCTCTCATTTCCCCCACGCTCTCTTTTTAACAATCAGCTCTTTTCTATCTAGGTCATGTGCTGCTGAGCCAAAAATTGTTCCACCGGCAGCCAGCACAAAACAGATTTGCTCGGTGTTTTATAGTGTGTCTTCTGCGTCTGTGTTTGCACATAAACTGGTGTTTACAGGGGAACAATGGGATTGCTGAGGGTTAATGTGAGAAGATAACGTGGTTAAAGGAAGAAAATGGGTAACAGGTTTAGGGCTTTCTCAGCCACAGCCTTTCAAATTACTGAAATAATATACTGGAACATATAGGGTTTATTTCACGTCTTTGAAAGTTTATTTGCTGACTTTTTATGTTTGTTTGAGTTGTCCATATTTGCACATAAAGTTACACTTTTAATGTATTTTAAACTTTAAATGAAGGTTTTGAAAAAGCAAAATGTCTGCTCATCCTATTATGTTTACCAGTTTTCTGTTATTCCCTTGAACATTAAAGAACCTTCCTCTCTGCATGCAAACACAATCTTGCTTAAACTAGGCAAATTTACAAACTGGGGACTCTTAAATGGGTTTTTACTTGTTAACATCACACGTTTTTCTATTAGCTGTGATCAATAAATAGAGAACGGAGCATGCCGTTGCTTATTTTTGGAATGTTATACCATGTGTTTTAATCACATTTGTTTGCCTCATGAGACAAATTAAGGAATCGTAGCTTAGCCGTGCCATATGAAAACAAGATTTATGTTTAATTCCAGCTCGACTCTATAAGCCCTAACCTCATTAAATTGAATCAGTGAAGTAAATTTAATCCTCATCAAATTTAATAATTTGGGAAGAGATGCAGAAACCTGTCCCTTACCATTAAAGAAATCGGAGTGCACAGCTTTTTCATTGGCTGCCAGGTCCATGAGCAGACCGCTGCTGCCTCCTGCCTGCAAACACACAACAGTGCAACCAGTCATACCACATGAGAAAAATCTAACAAATACATATACACCAACTGCTACACTTACTGCATATTTAAAAACTAAAAATAACAGGCCCAATATAAAGTGAGATAAGACAAATCTTTATCTATGCGAAAGTTGTAAAATACCGTTGTTATAGCAATTAAAACTAATTAAAAACAACAACAACAATATTTTAGGACTGAAGTCTCAGCTTTCAGAGGGCAAGAGGCGGTTTATACCCAGCACAGATCACCAGACAGTCTCACTCTTACGTTAGTTTAAAATCTCCAGTTAACCTGACACACATGTCTTTAGGATGTGGGAGGAAATTGGAATAACAAGAGAGAATCTCTCCATTAAAAAAAACAAAAAATATGAAAGCTGGAGCCTATCCCAGCCATCGTAGGGTGAGAGACGGGGTACACCATGAGCAGGTTGACAGTCAATAGCAGGGCTAACACATAGAAAAAGATAACTTCCTACTGACACTAATGGGCAATTTAAAATCATCAGTTAACCTAACCCCATTAACTATATGTCTGTGGACGGTGGGGGAAGCCGGAGTACCCGGGAAAGCCCACGCAAACACGGGGTTAACATGAAAACTCCACACAGAAAGATGGTGAACTCAAAATCAGACTTCTTGCTGAGGCAACAGCATAGACATGGACGCATTTAACGGGATGAGCTGAGGTGTTTCTATCAAGAATACTGAATAACCCAAAATGTAACGTATTAACGCAGTTAAATGTAAAAAAAAAAAAAAACAAGCTAGGCAATTATATTCATCGCTTCCGTTTCATGTGATTTCAAACATATGGAGCTAGTTAGCGTTAGCACATCTAGACGCCGGTTAATTTAAAGCTCTAAATCTGTGAACCTACCTCGTCCAGGTCCACATAGGGACCAGCTCCTTCAGGAAACATTTCATCCACTGCAGGCTTCATGTTATTCTAAAAGCAGTTCCGCCGCAATTAAGTCAAACGGTGCGTTTGCGTTAGCAGTTGTCGAGGCTTAGGTGGTAAACAAAACAACCGTGTGCAACACTAATTCGTGCCCGGCTTTCGCTGCTGACTTGCCGCTTTCGATCCGCCCTCAGCAAAATATGGGTGATTATAATATTCCTCAATATGACCAGGCGCAAAGCACGTTAAATCATTTCTAATAAATGAATAGATCAAATTAAAGTTCATGTCTTTAAGTTAAACGTTTTTTAAAGTTAAAAAAGTTAAGCTAGTAAAGTTAAACTAGATAGCCAACGTGAAGAGTACGGTTTGCTCCATTTAAGTCCTGTTTTGACAGCCTGCAAAATATACTATAAATAGTGATCGCAAGTTTTGACAGTCTTTTTGTAAGCCTCTTGTTAAAGCAAAATGGCAACAACAATAAAAACAAATAAATAGATAATAATAATAATAATAATAATAATAATAATAATAATAATAACAACAATAGTATAGAGAAAATACTTTTAAGATCTCAAAAGACTAAAATAAATCATTTCTCAGACTCCATTACATATTTGAAGAATGGTTTGTTTATTTATTTGTGGCACTTTATATGACAATAAGAGGGCTATTTATTTCTAATTCTATTGTATATATGTGACTAAGCTACTAAAAATATCTGTTCCTTTTCACATCCCCCTTTTGTTTCATATTTATAATAATTTCCTTATTTCCCTTTAATAAACCCTCGTAACATTTTTTTCATGTCATTCTCTTTTTACTTTTTCTCTCTTTTGGGTCTAGCACCTCTCTTAGTGTTCATGTCCTGCATTGGTCTCATATCCTAGAGTGTCTCCTATGGGCTGGTGGGCGAAGAAGGCCCGGGCCATCTCATTGATGTAGTTGTAGGCACCGATGGATCTGAAGTACTCAATGTAGTTCCAGAAGTCAGAGGTAGTGTACGGCCAGTAGGGAACAGCTGGTGGTTCATCATAAGGCACTGAAAGACACATGGCATGTCAGAAGGGACAGGGTACATCCGGTCTCAAACAGTGAGATGCTATTACAGACCATAAAGTATCATGTTAGGGATTTACTGATGATATTTTGCAGTAAATATAGTTTTTAGTAGTAGTTCATATTCACACATTCAGAAAAGCACCAGGTGTTTTTAACTCCTGATATATCACAGGCACCGTTTCCCACATATGAAAGTGAAAAGAGAGGCAATGGCTATTTATTTTCTACAGTGAACAAAGTGAACCACAGCCCTGCATGGGCATTGCCTTTGTTGACTTATTTATCATATTCTATGAAAAATGTGGTTCTTACAATGCTTTTGTATGCCTTTCATTTCCACAAGGTATTTAGATCAGCAAAGGGTTTTGTTGCTGTCCCAACTCAATCACAGAACAATGGTATTGCATTAGGTAATCCTAAGTGTAAAAGCTTTATTTTGACAGCTAAACACTGGCAAATCATAACAACAATAGTTTCCTCATATTTTAAAGTAAAAAACGAAACAAAAAACCCTACAATGTGTGAAGTGTGTGTGTGAATGTGAGAGTGAATGAATAGTGGCATTGTAAAGCGCTTTGGGTGCCTTGAAAAGAGCTATATAAATCCAATCCATTATTATTATTATTATCATTACAATAATAGAGCAAAACCCCCAACAATCAGATGACCCCCTCTGAGCAAAAATAACAGGGGATAGTGGGAAGGAAGAACTGGTGTTTACCACTCTCAGAGAGACACAACCAACATTAGCTCATTAGAAACATCTTTATTTCATTTAAAATCATATATTTGCTCTTGCTGCTAAATGCAAACGTTAATTCAGATGTCCAGGTAGAAGCCTGTTTAAAATGAAAACTGAATGTTAGTTTGTAGAATAAATTCCTACAAGTCATGAGTTGAAGAGATTATTAGAAACAAAAAAATGTGCATGTCATATCAACGCTCCTTTTAAAGACTAAAAAGACCAAATTATTAACTATTATGATTTATCTCTAGTATTTCTCTCTAAATAAACACCTGATCTATGCATCCTGATTTTTTTTTTTAGCATTAAAAGTGTTCTAGTTTATTAAAGTTGCTTTAAGATTCCATTTGAAGACTGTTACCTCCCCATCCACCCATTTATAAGCAAGGCTTATATCACTGTGGAGAAATTCTTTTCCTAGGTAGGGTCACAAGAGTCTCAGAGGTCACTCACCGCTGTTGGAGCCTACATGTGAGAAAATAACGACTTACCATCTGTCATGTGAGTCAGTATTTAAGGACAAGCATAGCTGACGCGCCCTTTCTCCTTTGTATTCTTGTATTCTGACAACAGTGTGTGGGAAGGAAATTCAAATATATATGAATGGCTTTCCTTTGTGCGAATGCTCCCTGTTAACATAGTTGCTCTGAGTCGAGCTCAGTGCTATAAAAGGCTGTGGAAAAAAACTGAATGTCTTCAAATAACCCTCCCGATGAACCTGGTGTTGAGTCCACATGACTCATTTGACCAAAAAATAGGACTAATTTATGGATGACAATGCTTCCCAATATTTATTTGAAATAAAAAATGTAGCAGTTCATTTTCCTATTTGTAAACATTACATGCCATGTACTTGTAATGTTATCTACAGAAGAGTCATGAAAGGTTATAGAAACATTTTGATGCCGATATAATAATAATAATAATAATAATAATAATAATAATAATAATAATAATA